CTATCTGTTATGTCTGTGCATTTTCTCTTTTCCCTTTTCCTTTCTCTAGCTCGCTAGATAGATAAAGATAAAAGAATCTAATTTCTGAAGTGTGCCTCATGCATGCTTAATATAATTGTGTAAGTGTTTAGGGTATAAGCCATGCTGACTCTAGAGATAACTGGGTTTCCTATCATGTTTAATATCTTAAAATTATCAACTGTAAGAAAGTTGGGGTGAGGTAAAACAATAGTTCCTTCCTGAAGCAACTGTTTAAAAATGTATTTTCTGACAGAGCTGCTTGGAAAAGGTGCTTCATTCTGGGGCTATAAGATCCTGCTGTCTTTTCATCTCTTTTTATTATTATTTTTTAAATTTTATTATTTTCCAGGAATTAAGGTTGTGTCTTTGTCAAACCCCCAAAAAAGTAAATTTCAAGTTAGACATCGAGATTCATAATTAGCCGAGTTTGACTTGCTCATCTTTCTTAAAAGTGACAGGCTGTTCACTTACTCTTAAATACTGTCTTCAGCAAACAGTGACAGGATCAACTCCCGTTTGTTATCAGGAAAAAGGTGACCTTTACAAAATGATGGCCCTCTGCAAGACTCTCACAGATGTTCAAATAACGGAATGTTTTTCAGTGGAAATATTTCTTCTTGATCATTTCTCCTGTTAACTGTAGCCCTGTGGTCTTGCAGCTTGGATGCTAATTCTTTGCTGTGCTTAGTCCTGTATGGCTAACCTTTCTGCTGCAGTACAGGGTGTTGACACTGACATGCTGCAGTTTACCATTTGTGATTTATTTAGGATAAATATGTCTCAGGTGGCATTTAATCCTTCATAAAACCAGTGTAGCCTGCAGTGTCAAACCAGCAATCACATTGTATGCACAATGAAAAGAGCAGACCTTTGCATAAAAAAAAAAAAACAACAAAAAACCAAACCAACAGTGGTAGGTGTTCCTGTGCTTGGGAGCATTGGAAAGGATTCACTAACCTACCGTGTGCTGTAATTACCTGGAAGCTCAGGTTAACGATACTTCTCTCTGAGTGCAGCCTGATCAGGAGAGCTAGTCTTTTTCTAGGGCTTTTGTTTTTTCCTTCTTCTTTTTAATCTGCACTTTAAAGTTAACTTATTAGTGCCCTACAAATGTAACATTAGAAATCAAGGGTGACATTCATTCCTGCGCAGACAGCCTGCTTAAGGACTGCACGCACTGTCTCAACCCCATGCTAAAATGCTCTCTGCCATACACCAGAAGTCGAGGCCACAGCAGATCTCTCCCAGGGCTTAGGAAATTCCCCCCCTGGCATTTGTCTCCCTCCCGTGCCTGAGCTGCTGGCACTGTGCCATACTGTAAGCTGGGAGGAGATTAGCTGGATCACTCCATGGATCTGCCAAGCTTTCCCCTGCCCTCTGCCCTGGGGAGCAGGGAAGGAGGCAGCGGAGGGAGGCACTCGGGGTAGAGCAGCGCCTCAAAAAGGCCCTAAGCCCCCAGGATGGCCATGCGCGGTGCTGGCGAGGCGCCCGTGGCACGTCAGGGAGCGGGCTCAGGGGCTGCGGGAGCCCTTTGCCACGGGTAGCGTCCACCGTCAGAGCACAGAGGAAGAACTTGTGCAGTGGATCTAGGAAGATGTATAGCCCAGGCAGCCATTCACTCCTAAACATGTCGTTTGCTGTTTGGTTTGAACACCTTCAGTTGCCTGTCTCCTGGAAAAATCAAGGGCTACGCTGCAATGGAAGCAGCTGTTAAGAGTGCGGTATTCCCACATCAGTCGGTTGCCTTATGATATTCTGATAACTCTTTGTTATCCATTCTGAATAAGCATTAACAAAGTTGGATGTGAACAATGCCAAATAGGTAAAAATGTAAGTGTTTAGGAAGCATTGAACTAGTACGCAGGGGGGGGAAACAAAAAAACCAAAACAAAAGTGAACAAAAAAAAAAACTAAATGAAAAGAAAACCAGAGGAAGAAGAGATGTTTCTGGCAAGCAGTTTTACCTTCTATTTCTTAAGAATCAGCTATACACCTCCTGAGGCAGGGTCTCCTGGCCCTTGAATTCAGGCTCCGTCTTTGGGGAGAAATGGGAGATAAGAGATAGCTGGAAACTATATTTAGAGAAATATTTCCTATAATAAAAACAAAGCAAACAAACAAAAAAACCAAAAACCACAACAAACCAAAACCCAAAGTGCCCACAGCTACATACCATTCTGCCTGACTACCAGCTGCACTTCACTATGGAAGTGAGACGAGCCAGAGCCAATAGTTGATGCGCTAAGGTATGCACATGTGGATTGTGCATAGTGCTGCAAGCGCTGCTGTCATTTATAAACGCTGCTTTAATACCAGAAATGTTAGCTGTGAGGTCCTGGAAGAAATATATTTGTGATCTTTGTGGAGAGTGGATTCAGCTTGCATAACCACTGTAGGAATCTCTGTGTGTCGAAGTTCTTGTGCCTCAGGCTAGCCCTGAACTGAACCTGAGCTTAAAACAAAGGTGAGTCCCCTTCAGGAACTCATGGGGATTGAGAGATAGGGTTGGAGCTACTGGCAGAGCAGTACAAGGAGCTGGCGGTGTGGTAGGTGCAGGCCTCAGAAAGCTACCTCTGGGTCTTGTTTCCAGCTTTCCCTGCTCCGTAGACTTCCTGAGCACAAAAGCTGTAAACAGAATTTAAAAAAAAGAAAAAAAGAAGGATGAAGACAAAAGCACTCCTGAAATTTGAAACTGTTGTGGTTTAACCCCAGCCAGCAACTAAGCAACACACAGCCGCTCACTCACTCCCACCCG